CCATCACCCTTCGAGAAGGAAGCCCATTCTCTCCAAGACTTTTACAACGAGCATCCTGCACTGGGGGACACACTACTATATCTCGGTCTACAAAGTAAGTTCCCAGTCTTACGATCCGAGTTGTGGTTCGTGCTCGCGTTGATGGCGCGTTCTGTCGACGGGGCCGTTATCGTGTCTCGCTTCCTGCTACAACGCCCCGAGATAGTAAGCGTGCTCGTCGAGGCTGTCATAGGCGAGAAGATACCCGAGAATCAAGAGATCCAAGACGAGGCTAGTAATTCGCCCGAGAGGGCTGGGTTGAACCTCGCGTCGATAGGTAGCGGATTAGGTCAGCTCGAACCCCAACAGGTAGACCCGACCAAGGCCGCAACTATGATGAAGATAGATCGGGAGAACGGTCTGGTGCTGATTACCGAACTGCTGAAGCAATGTCCAGATGAGCTTCCCCCTACGGTGAGGGATACTTTTAGCCAGACTTTGAAGGCGGGTGGAGAGTTGCTTCTTAGCGATGAAATCGAGGCATTACAGGGGGAGGCTGAGCTCGCAGGGAGTACATAGATCAACTTATTCTAATCAGTGGGTCATAGTCAGACGACTGGTTTTGGATTATCGCAGGCGTATGAAGTATGGATTCTGATAGAAGCGATCATTTACGTGATATTACCTTACCTCCTGCTCAACATCTACAGATAGGGTTAGCTTCACCACCTATTCGTCCTGCGAGTGATTCCAGATCGATGGCCAAACTGCGACTTCAAGTCACAGTGTCTAGAGGACGTGTAAAGCATGTCCATTCATTTTCCATTGAGAACGACCTAGAGTAAACCGGAAGATGCAATAATGCTTCGGTCCATGTTGTGCGGCGGGAGAAGAATGAGATCTATGAGGTCTGTTCTCTCCTGGCTACATAAGAGCCGCAAGCCAACCTGCCATGACCGTCCAACAACACAACGAAAGCAGATCCCTAAGAATGCCGTCCGTACTCCCGTGCAGACCCTTGCGGAGCTCGACCTCCATCTTATTTCTTGTTGGCTTCAGCCTCAGCCTTGTCCCTTGCTCGCTTCTCCCGTACTCCTTGCAGTCTCGCGTCACTTCTCGCCTTGCGGAGCTTAGTGAATGCACCACCCTCGATCGGCTTGGGTAGGTCGCTCTTCTTGATCTCTGTGATAGCCTCGCTGATGGGAGCAATGGGAAGGGCGGATCCAATGGTGGAAACAGTCTCGGTCTTGCTGAGGTCGATGTCCTTGCTGTCACCAGCCTTGGGGTGCTTGGCGCCCTTACGGGGGAAGACGATCAATCGAGCCTTGTAGGCCTTAAGGCGGGCCACATTGGCGGCGAGGGATTCCTCGCTGAGGTTCTGGCGACGGTAGTCGACGGCGATACCGATGGTGGGGGCGACTAGGCGAGGGATACCAGCTTCCTATAGAGTTGTTAGAATAGTTCTATCTAAATATAGAATTTACTAGAGTTATGATGAAATTCAGCCGGAGATATGCGGGCAAATAAATCACCACTCGTTTTGTAGGGATGAGATATTTTGGATGGGTGATATACCTTCAACTCAGTGAGGGTGAAACCACGTCCGGCACGAACGCGGCGGTTATACTTGATCGTCGGGCATCGAACGACGGGTCTTAGCTTGTCGACGGGTCGTGGTGCGACGGCAGCAGCCTTAGCAGCACGCAGAGAGCGACGTCGGATCTTCTTAGTAGGCTATCATGTTTCCCGTCTCAATGTCAGAATACTTCAAATTTCATCACCCTTTCGCCGGAATGTTGGGAGCGTTGAACTTCATACCTGGTCGAAGTGGGTTCGAACCCGGCGTTGCCAGTCCTTTCGGAAGTCTGTGTACAATTAGTTAGTACTGCCGATCTGAAATTTTGAGTGCAATCGTTCGATTCGTTGTCTCGAAATGTCATCGGTTGAACGTACGGTTGTGCTGAATCTGGTTGTTGTGCTTGATCGCCTGGGAACGTAGACACGTTAGCGCGCTGCTCTCGTCTTGAGTCAAGATATTCGAATGGTCATTATGGTACTGCCACCATTAAATATCAATACATACCATTGCGAATGATTGCGATCAAGAGTTGGTTGTGGAAAGAATGGTCGTCTATCGTAGGTCGTCTCAAATCTCCGAATTGGAGGCACGAGAATTTCCCAAAGGTTTGCTAGCAAGGGCTTGACCAACCCGCACTTTCGGCAAAATTTTTGGAGGGCTTGAAAACCCTATAATTTTTGTATTAGTGGCGGTGCTGTTTGTGCTCCAAAATGTGTGGGGCTAGAGTTTTAGTGAAGCCCCACAGTTCTTAAGGTTATTATTGGAAGTGACATGAGCAGCATGAGTTACACCCAGGTAAAAGGATAGTGCCCACGAGTGTATACATCATTCCTCTCCAAGAGCAGAGATCTCTGTTACCAACATTGAATACATGTATGCCGGGTAACTTCAATATAGTACGGCTTTACAGCATTATATTGCAGTAGATCGTGGGTATTTATATATATGAGGGGATGCATATCTAACTGTTTACCGCCTGGTAGTGTTTATTATCGTCGCCTCTTAAACCCGTCATAACTACAGCCTAACTACCTACCCCCTTCTTTATTTCCATAGAAATCCATCCTAGTTTATGCGTTAATAAGGTTGCCCCTATCCCCAAAGAATCTACTAATAAATCCAATGCATCTCTGCCACGTGCTAGCATTCGGAAGTCCATACTTAGGCCTCACTCCGTGAGGTTAATATTATCAACTGACTGCAACTTGTGTATCTCCGAGTCCGCGTGATCTAGGCGATCCTGTACGTCTCCAAGCCGGACCCTTCTCCTTGCATCAATATACATCATATATTCTTGGTAGGTATCTTCACAATCAAATATTAGCCACAAATTTGCGGGAGAACTCGCAAGTCGGTCTAAGTCTTTCCCCTAATAACAAGCCGACCCGAAAGGGGAAGGGGTACTTTCTCTGGGACAAATAGAAGGAACAGGAATAAAAAAAAACAATATCAAGATACACATACGTGGTAGAACTTTGACGTCTTTCGGCACCGAGAAGGTATAATTGAACTGGCCGGTCGGTTTGGCATTCCCATGCTCGACGTCTCTAACCTTGCTATCCACTCTGACATGGAGCCGGGTCGCAGGATTCTTGGGGTCTTTCTGCTTCGGTTCGCTCCCATCTTCCTCTAGAATAGGCGGATCTGTATATACAATGGTTGCGGTTAGGTATAGGACGCTACCGACAGGTACCGGATTGCGGAAAGTGCAGGGATCGGCACTGATGAATGTCGGCCGCGCGTGCGCAAAGCTCGCAGCGCAGCAGAATGCTAATTCGAAAGTCTGCTTCAAGTGGAAACCGCCGAATATCATGGTTTGGTGGCGATTACGATATTGTGGCTGCATGATAGAAGCAGTTGACAGCTGAGTCCTCGACATGGCAATCACGTTCGTAGGTTGACGAAGGGCGTTATTAGGGTCGTGGTAGGCCAGCTGCCGCAGCCAAATCTTATGGATTAAGGCCGACTCAGGGTCATTCGGCTCAGTCTCTAGCAGCGAGGTCTTCAGGTTCTTCTTCTTAGCTAATGCCTTCGCCTCTCCAGCCTTGAAGATCTTCTCCTCTTCGGGAGTTGAGCAAATGAGACGTGGTATATTGACGGGCTTCTTCGTTGTGGGATCTAAGGCCACCATTGTGAAGGTACATGTAAGTAACACGTCCTCGGGCTTGCTTGGTTCACCTTCGTCTCTAGCTCTGGCGACCCTACATGTGATCTCGACACTACTCCTTCCCGATGCGTACGTCACCTGTCCACTATATTCCAAGTCACATATTTCGGTCAGCGGATGGGCAATGGTGATACGGTCAAGCGCGGCAGTCACCGTGGTGACACCGGGTCCAGTGTGCTTGTAAACGATGATACCAGACAAGGCATCGAGGTCCATGAATATTGTACCTAGCCTAAAGTATACCTATCTTGTTAGAACAAGTTGTAGAATAAAGAAGCGGGCCAAGGACCTTATGTGACCTGAAGAATTGATATATGTATCACTGAGCCAAGGGTCACGGCCGAGCGGAAGCACGACTCGGTGGTAACTGTCGCTCATCTTCTTCGGGGTAAGGTCACGCTCCTGCGATCGAGCCTCGTCGGAGGCCACATTCTTCCCTTCTTGCTGGAGCCTCCACGCTTCTATCCACGGCATTGGTAGGCGGTTATCTGAGAGACCCCGAAATACCCCGTCCGTGTGACGTGGAGCTGTGCTGTGGACGCATCTCCTAGGAAGGAAACGAACATGTCCAACAGTAGCACCTCTATTGGAAACTTCAAAAGGGAAAGTTAGGGTAAGTAGTCGCCGAATAGGCACTCTTCTACCAGCCATGCCAAAGCACATATTAATATGATGTACCTAGGTGGTTATTAGGAGAAATACGGACACATACGTAAGGTACGTGAAAGATTAGCATGTAATAAAACATTACAAAAGTGCTTAGTGTATATGTAAGTATGTACATGATAGGTACTGTATTTTGTATGTTCGATATGGGTGGGGCTCTTCCGATAGCTCTAGGGCTTAAATCCTTGTATCCATGAATATCCGTTCAAGTATTCTGCCTCCTATGGTATTAAGCTTTGAAATAATTGCCCTGTTAGGTTTCTATAAACCTCATCAAAAGGTTTGAAAGTATTTTTATATATGCAGCGTACTATACGCTATTAAGTACTTATGCTTCCACTTAAACTCGATTAATTAAGACCTACGGTAATAAGGTGGTGCCTAGCAGGTGTCATCGGGGTTGTCAAATCCATATAACTCGAGGTTTTATATAAAATACGAGCTTTTAATGTAAGATTTGTTCGTAGCTGCTTCTAAAGGTATTCGAATAAATCATACTAAGAATTTTCTTACATTAAACTTATCACAATTGATTTCATTGCCCAGTGTTTTTGCTTGCTGTTTTGAAAATATAATATATATGATTTCTTTAAAACTTAAGTTTCCACCGCCCGGTTAGCTCAATCGGTAGAGCGTGGGACTTTTATTACCGTATCGAAGATCTCGGGGTATCCCAAGGTTGCGGGTTCGAAACCCGCATCGGGCGTTTATAATCTCTCACATCCGTATTTGATGTTGCCCTTTTTTTTTTGACATCATCGTTGATTTTACAGCATTGATAATGAGTTTGTTTAGTGGATAATGAATGTCTAACATAGTTGTTCTGGCTCTGCCACTTGCACTTTATAATATTTTACTACATGTCTCGTCCTGTAGCTCCGTGAGTCTCTCTCTCTCTCTCTCTCTTTTTTTTTTTTTTTTTTTTTTTTTTGAAACTGTTTCTTGTCTATTGAACGACTCACGGAAGCCTCTCCCTCCTCAATATATTGTGAGCTTTCCTTGAGCCTCTTGCTCTTGACTAGTAATCGATATCACCTAATAATGTAGGTAAAAGAGGGCCGATAAGTCATTTAGAGACGAAGCCAACACCGTGTGCCTCTTACTGTATTATAAGAGATCTTCAGTTAGTCCCTGGTTTAGGAGCAAGCGCTTCGGAAGCTGGCAAGTCTCGAGGATCTCACGTAGCCATAACGTAGCCGTAGAACCTCTCAACCGGGAGTCGTCCTGCTTTACTAATACCTAAAGATAAGGTGCAAACGAATCCAGTCATGCACACGTCTGGTACCAGTTGGCAGATTGCAATATCACGTTGTTCTATATGTACAATACTCTGAGGGACTTCTACACCTTGATATAAACATGGAGTGTCATGAGTATATCACCAGATAGGCGACTATACTCCACCCTTGATCCGTGATAGCTCCCTGTTCTTCCGAACAAAGCCGTGACCCTCCAGGGGCAGATCTCTCTTTTTCAACTCTTCTTCTATGAGCTTGAACCTCCCAAGCGCCTTCTCCCTATCACCGCGTGTAATACGCTTTGTCGCGATAGAGACGTTTGGTAGCTGGACGAGATCCTGTCGGCGTTCCTGAATCTCTTGAGTCAGAGTCTTTGGCTTCGGTGGCGTCTGAACCACGTGGAGCAATGATCGGACATCGGAAATATTTGACAACTGGTGATCGTGGACTAGCTGGCCAGTGAGCTGGAAAATCCGCTTTGTAACCTGGGTATCTCCATGTTAGTATGATATTATATCTTCAAGGAGTTGGTGACGACTCTGGAAAGATTGAACTTACGGCGAATTTAAGTCGGGGGTCCGACAGAGAGGCAGTTTTCCAACTGTTATCCCAAGCTTCTCTATACTTGTGAGCTTCCTCCTTTGAGAGCACCGACCTGTCTGATGCCGGTTCGTCGGCAGCAGATTCACCGGCTACACTAGCTTCATCCTTCCAATTCAGAGAGTCTATTACCGCGGAGATGTCCCCGGTCAGCGACACAGCACCGCCTTCTGTAACGTTGATATCCACTTCCATGAGCTGACGGACCACACGATCCCCTGCTATCGGCCAGGTCTTCACTAGATCGTCTTCTCGACCTGTCTGCTTCAGCGCGAACGCCTCTACAACAGCTCGCCGTACCGAGGCCTCTATAATGGCTGGATCGAGCACCTTCTCCAGCGGCTTAAAGCCGATAAAATCAGCCGACTTGGGCCAATGTGCCTGTTGATCCCACCAGTTTCCTAGCCCACCCACCGTCTCCAAACCCTCGGCGGTTAACGCAGGCACATATTCCGGGTCCGCGACTTCATCTAACCGCTCGGCATAGCTACGCTGAGGTGGTGGGACGTATGCCTGCCACTGCTGCGGAAGCTGGTCTTCTGCTTCCTCTATGTTTCCTTCGTTCAAATCGTTAAGTTGGTTTTCTTGTACTTCCTCAACGTCGCGGCTAGTACTTTGCTGGTTGAGTTGTTTATCGGACGAGTAAAACCGTATAAACGCAAGGCGGTGGATGCTTGCCGGTATGGGTTTAAGAGTTGAGGCCGAGACGCTCTGGGAGGATGGAGGTGGGCATTGTGTAATTAGAGGAGCGATTGGGGTGTGTGAGGTCGATGTAGATAGGCTGTATGGCCGTCTTAATCGTGGTATTCGTCGCATTGTGACCAATTGGTTAGTAGATGGGGCGCGGCTATCACGATGACGCCGTATAGATATCTTCGTGGATATCAGACACTTTAGTCAATTTTTTTTATGTTCTGATGGTATGTATGTATGTATGCCAATTGCAAAATTGTCATTGTACCCAAGTACACTTTAGATGCATGTGGGTTGGACCGGCGAGCTAAGTGGAGCTCCAGCCACAGGAGGCTACGGTACATGTACATACATGTAGGTAACACCTGCATGACATCCAATGTAGGTACTTACGTACATGTATGAATCTATTTGCGTTGGAGCTTCAATGTTCGGCTTCCATCCTACATGTATCTTGTAAAAAGCAGAGCTACTATGTATGTAGCTTTACCAACCACTGCTACTACATGATTTAATCTCTCCCTTTTCCTAATACCTTTGTATGAAATGCCCAAGGGGTTTTTATCGTCGCGATATCCATATGGTCATTCGATGATAGCGACATGATGCGACTACAGCTCTCTCTACTTGTCATCGGGGTCCTCATCTCCTACGTCGCCGCATCCTGTAAGCCACTCTACCCGCCACTCTCCCTTCTTAGTTCGCTTATTCATCCTCTATTTACGCATAATCTACCACTTTATGCTAACCTCTCCATCTCTTATACTCGCAGCTGCGCCGACGTTCTGTAAATGCACTTGCTTCAAGAACAGCACCTTGATCCAATTGGGTCCTCAAGGTGACTCCTCTTCCTCTTTCGAGAACTCCGGCTCCGCTGCGTCGGGACAGTCATTACGTTCGCTGTCGCTCCAATTCCAAGTGCGCGCCGCCTCAACCTCATGCACCCAATGCACCCGAGCTTTCTGTCTATCCCAGCATCTTCCCATCTGCAAGGACGCTGAGGAGAATGATGTCGTGGCCATGTGCTTCCAACGCGACAGCCGCAAGGACCAGATCATCGTCTGGGGGTTCATTCTAGGTACAACAGGTCTGTTAGGCTGGGCTGCCGCCAAGAGGGTTATTGAGCTGCGTGAGAGCAAGAAAGCCGCCGCGCTGGGGTTGGGTGGCTCTGGCGCTGGGAGCAGACGAGTAGGAGTCAGTGCTCAGGATAGGGGTGTATATATGCCAGTCGGCCATGATAGCACACAAGGGTTAAGCAGGTAAACCTGTACGCGGGGTGAGGGTCTACGAATTGTATTGGTTTGTAGTTCGGGGCTGAGGCGTTGTCAATGGCGTTTGGGATAGAATAGAAGCTATGATCTTAATATGTGCGTCCTGGGCTTAATTAAGTTGTAAAACCTAGGCGTAGGCATGCCCCTCAGAAACTGCTCTCCATGTATACTAAAAAACTAATATGGGTTTAGAGGGCAAGGAAATATTATGTGTATTCGTCTCGATTTCATAATAACCTATTGGTTATAACCAGACGCCTTGGGCCCTTTTTGGTTTTTCTCCCGATCAAATTCCCGGCCTTTTCGTTGAGCTAATGATTCTCAGATACTATGCATCCCCGAGAGTCACCCCTCTTAAAGGGGTTGTACCACTGATTTCTCTCTTAGCCGCGCTTTCTCGGAGCTCAACTTCCCCTTTTCACGCAACCAAACTTAATAAGATTGCAAATTATATGCTCCGCCCTAGGAATTCATTCCTCTTCAAGAGGAGTAGCCTTGGGTTCTTCGCCGTTGCTGTTCGGCACGCCGTTTTTCTCCCTCCGTGCGCGGACCGCCGCCGCTAAGTCTTCAAGGACCTGGACTGTCGTTTCCCAATCGATACACGCGTCCGTGATGCTCACACCCTTCTTCAGCCCAGAGGGCCCCTCAGGAGGAACCTTCTGGTTCCCTTCGTTGATATTTGACTCGATCATAACTCCGACGATGGCTTTTTCGCCTTCTCTTAGCTGATCACCAATAACCTTGGCGACCTTGGGTTGGTTCCGGTGGTCCTTATTAGAGTTTCCTGTTCATATCGTTAATTTAATCTCAGGTTCGACTTGACAAAACGGAGACTATTTACCATGCGAGCAATCGACCATGATGGCCAGCTTCTGGCCCTTCTTCGTTAGCGTTTCTTTGGCGGCTTGGATGCTCTCCTTGTCGTAATTGGTGCCCTTGCTGCCACCCCGGAGGATGACGAAGCCGTGCTCATTTCCCTTGGTCCTGGTGATGGCTGCCAGGCCCTGCTTGGTCACACCCATGAAGTGGTGCTTAGAAGCTGCGGCGCCAATGGCGTCGATAGCAACATTCAGGTTCCCGTCAGTGCCATTCTTGAAGCCAATTGGAAAAGAAAGACCGGACGCCAGTTCACGGTGCAGCTGTGACTCGGTGGTTCGTGCGCCAATAGCGCCGACAGAGATGAAGTCTGCCAGGAATTGTGGTGAAATAGTATCCAGCATCTCGCTGGCTATGGGCATGCCTGCATTGGTTAGGTCGCTAAACATCTGTCGTGATATGCGAAGACCCTTGTTGATCTTGAAACTGTTGTCGATGTCGGGATCGTTGATGAGACCTTTCCAACCCACCGTGGTCCGCGGCTTCTCGAGGTAAGCGCGCATGATGATACACAAATCATCCGACAGCTTCTCGGAAAGCTTTTTGAGACGTTGAGCATACTCATGGGCCATGGCTGGGTCGTGGATGGAGCAGGGGCCAACAACGACCAAGAGACGGTCACTACGACCCATAATGATGGCAACAGCATCTCTCCGTCCCTTGACTACGGTCTGTAAAGACGCATCGGTCATGGGAATCTCAGAGATGAGCAAGGCCGGCGGGATGAGAGGGTCCTGGCCCAGGACTGTCGTTTCCAAGTACATCAGCATCTTGTCTAAATTTTGCCTCTCGTGACACCCTGCTTCTCAGATGTGTAATACTAAATAAGAGAACAAATCTCGAGTAACATAAAAAACGAGTCATTTATGATTAAATTATAAGTATAGACGAAGATCTGCAAGAATCCAGTGAATTAGAAAGTCATGTTTGCTGTCTCACGTACCTCTCATATCGTCAGCCACGAGGGGCGCCATGTCGACTCCTGGCATGGTGGTGAATGGATTCGCAAGGTGGTCGAAGTTATGTGA